TATTTGTAAAATGCCACTGCCCATTTTCCCATGAGAGTGTAAACATAGAACAGGTGAAATTTTATTACACTGCTATTAAAAAGACTAAGAAATTAATAGCAAGAGAACAAAATGCATAACTATTGTGAGAGAAATTAGTGAGAACTTGTCAAATACAAGGCATCCACTTGCAATAAGTCAGTTCAATGTTCTACACATAGGTTTCAACATGTCTTACAGAGTAAATGCTCAATGACAATGAATGCACATTATTTATTTTTTTAAATTTCTGCATATTTAGTATATTTCTGTATGCAGCAAAGATATACCAGTGTCTAAAATAGGTTGCTTGTTCCCCAGATAGCTATAGCACCTGGTGGTCTGCTAATCTAACATTTTGATTTATGTTAAAGCATATTTTTTATGTTCAAAATCTCTTTTTCCTTATGAGTCTTTAAGATATTACTGTGATCATGTTACACCTCTAGTTACATACAAGGTGTGACAAAAAGTAATAATTTTCATGATCTTGTTTCATCCCTTTTATTAAGACTGTTGATTTAGGGAAGGAAGTTAGAAAATACTTCCCATTATAATATATATGCAAATAATCCTCTTATATGCAACATTTTTATATGGTCTTCTCAAAAGCCTGGAGTGTAGAGTGGGTTATATGTAATCTCTCTATCTAAATAAATGACTGTAACATTTTTGAGGGAAATTCATCCCATTATAAAACAGCCATTTACAAGTAGAGAAATGAATAATGCCTTAGCATTGCCAGTTCTGCCCAAAGATTATAAAGGCAGACTGGATCTGTCAGGGTATATATATCTCAGTAATGTTCCTAAACTAAATGCGTATAGGCTGTATATTCAGAACTGCCTTGGCCTGGCTTCCAAGGTTCCCTATTCAGGGTTCCACTTCAGCTATTCAGTTTTCCAGTGTCAACAGTAAAAGAACCCCCAGTAATATTTGGTGTTTTGAACATGAAAAACTGAGACCTGACTAAAAAAATCTGTTATTATTTAAATTCCAGTTCATATATAATCTTTAAAAACTGCTTTGGAAAATGTTCCCCTAAATGTTCATACACTGTCATCTCAGCCACTGTATAGGTATCATGGACAAGAATCTCTAATTAGCAGATCTCTTGAAAAACTTCAGTAATGCACACCTGCAGTAGTATCATCTTTGCCTGAACAGAATGGAAATGATAGGGTTATCCCAATTCATAACTATGAGTTTTTTATAAAGATATCCAGATGGACTGGAATATGTACATGTGTAGGAGGGCAAGTGCAGGGTGTGCCTGAGAGATAGAGAGAAGCTGCAGATGGTGTTTGACTGTTGAACTGAGAATATGTATCTGTAATTTATCTGGAAGATGAGGTAAACAGCACATTAATTAAATTTGCAGATGATACCAAATTGGAATGTGTTGCAAACACCATTGAGAAAAGATACAAAGCAAAGTGACCTAGAAAGGTTAGAAATGTACACAAAACTTTAAAAAGTGATGCATAATCTTGGGAATGAAAGTTAGTATATTGAAAAACAGACCTTAAATAAGCTAGAGATAACTGAAAAACAATAATATTAAGACAATTTAAAGCATGATAAGAGTCATTGTATCACCAGATTTAAATTTTCTCATCTCACCTTGTCACTTTTCTAACTCTTCTCCTCTCATCTTCATTCTCACTTTTTAGTATTTATATTTTTGTTGGTTTTTATTTGTTAGTTTGTTTCTTTGGTTTGGCTTTGTTTGTTTTGATTGGATTTTTTTGTTGGTTTGGGTTTTTGTTTTTTGTTTTTTGGTTTAGTATCTGCTATATTTTTGTTGATGTATTTAAAGTGTGTTTTGTTTCAAGCACAGAAATTTTGCATTCCAACTAGAAAACCACTGTCCCAAATTTTTATTTCACTGACCCAAAGATTTACTGCTACAGCTATAAGCATCTGTGGCATTTTATGAAAACTGTCATTATCTTTGTGATTATATAACTTCTTTATGATCTAAAAGTAAGATTGGATCCTCATCTTATTAAGGCTACCACCATCCCTACTACCATCACCTCTACTGCACAGGAAGGGGTTCCTTTCCTTGCATTTGGTGTAGCCAATGTAAATCTAATGAAACTCAGACAAGTTGTTCTCAGTTTGTATTTAGCTTTGAAGTTTGCTACTTCTATTAAAGAATAAGGAAGAGTTGTAAAATATTTTTTATTTCTTCCATCTGTACTGCTTAAGTAAAACATATCAATTCCCTCTAGAAACAGCATATTAGCTTTGCCACTGTGATTACAATAACATTTTGACAGACAGTGAGTTAAATTTTGAGACTAATTTAATTCCAGAATATCTATAATTTAAAGAAATAAGCATCATTGCCTGTAATTATTACAACCATCATCCAGGAAGTGAGAACTCAATTGTACTTCCTACTCTGACAGAGGATTTGATTTCTATTTGATGGTCAAGTACGAAAATCAGTTTTACAGGAAGTGTTAAAACACAAAACAGGAATAAAATTAGAATAAAGACACACAGTGAAGGAGGAGATGACTTTAGAGTTTAAGGGTAATGACCCTTTCCCTTTTTTTCCAAACGCTTTCCCAGAGCTGCCTTTACCACTCTGTGAGAATTGCTTTCAGCTCTTAAGCTTTCTCCTCCCTGAAATTAAATAAAGTAATAGTTCTGGAAAGTGATATCAACATCCCTAGATAACTTGATTGCCAGGATACCTTTTACCTTTATACTTTTATGTTTTGGCTACATGGTATATTTATCTATGTGACAACATTTGATATACATTACATTTATGTTCCTGGTTGAACAGTAGCATCAGATTACAAAGTACTCCCAATTAATTCAGTTTATCGCTCTTAGTTTTTAAAGATGTAGCAAGTTTGGTCTTTTCAGGATAGGAATAAGCAGAAGTCAGAAATCTTACTAGGAAATAGGTAAGCTGTTTTGCAAGAGAACCCAAAGCATCAGCTGTTGTATGAAGAAGGTATATTTGGTGCTCAAATAATAAATTTCCTGTCTAGTTTCAGATAGGGATACGTGTTTATGAATACATTTTCCACGGAATTACCTTACGTATGCTTTCTTAATCAAAGTGAGAAACTGAGTCAGACGTTACCTTTTGTCCACTGCTGGGTATCCTGTCCTCATATTCTTTTTATAATCCTCAGGAAATCCATAGCTTCCTGAACACTGAGAAGGCATCTGCCTCCTTTTTTTTTCCCTCCTTCTCTAAGAAAATATCTTTGTCTGGTGGAGCTTACACATAAATCTCCTAAACCCAGTGTGGTGCATAGACAGAGACATTTTTCAGGGTTTCAAGGTCCTCTTCTACAGGAATTCTAGCATTCTAAAATTCTCTTAAAATCCCAACCAAATGCCATTACAAATGACACCATGATGAAAAGTTATAACAGAAAACCTCAATAACAAATCCCAAGATTTTTCAGAGTGATTGGCAAATGCTTAAAAGAGGAAAAAATATCCCTGAATTGTTGGCAAATGTTAAGACCAATATACTTGGAAATATTATACATAGACTGCAACATCTTGAGTAGTGGAAAAGCATGTATCCATAGTTCAAAATGTCTGGATTGTTTCTGAGCAGGAAGAAAGACAAAGATTTAGAATCCATTTTTATTGATTTGTTTGCAGAATGCATATTGAGTTTTTCCTGTCACATATGCAGAGTGATTCAACTTCCAAGAACAAGTAAGTGAGCAGTCATATCAAGAGACCGTGTTTTCATGTTCCATTGTTGAAGACTAAAATAAAATGTTCTGGTTATGACTTTGAAGCCATTTATAATGCTTTACACAACTTAACAGAACCCCAAGACAATTATATATATATAAACCATTAAAAAAATCAAACATAATGCAACTAATAAAAATTTATAACCATATAATATTGTATAACCACTAGAGCTTATATAAAATATAAGCATTTCACAGCAGAATATAATCCATTTGATCTGGAAGCTGTAAGGATCTAAGCAAAGAAATTCTGGCTCACAAAGGCCAAAAATACCAAAGGACTAGAAATAGTCAGAATACCTTCCCCAAAAAACCAAAACCCAATACAAAAACCAAAAGGGAAGACATTCTCATTTTTGAGAGGAGCAGGAGCATTTGAATAAAACACTGTACACTGGTGAAGACAACTGGAGAATAAATAATATACAGTAACTTGATCTGCAACTTGACTTAAAGAGCTCTGAAAACTAATCAAGTTCAGCTCAGTGTAATGTCAAGTACCACAGATATTAGTGCTAAATATATGTAAACATTATCAGCTTTACAGTACTGTACACTGAGATATAATTTAAGAAATCTAAAAGAATAAATGTTTTGCCTTCATAATTGTGTTGGTAATGCACTACAAAAAGTAACCAGTAACAAAGGTGTTGCTGATCAATTAATTTAGTAAAGTTTAAAGTTTCAAACTGGTCTGCTTTATCAAGCTTATGACATCATTATAAAGTCTAAGTTTTCGTGAGTGTGTGTGTATATATGCATATGTATACATTTATTTAATGGAAATACTTCTCCCCCAATAGACTAACAGAATATTTTTCTTTGAAAGACTGGAGTTATTCACCTTGCCTCCTTTTACTACCATTGCGTTCTCTTCCCTTTACTCTCATTACATTTTCCCTGAAATTGCATTTAGCATTAAGCAATAAAGTTTTGGTAAGAGTATTCTCAGTATCCCTTTGGTTAGCCTTGAGCTTTCTGTTGCTTTGCAGCATGACCTTCTATTTTTGTGTGCATATGAAAGTTGTTTTGAACAGAGATAAAATCTCAGAGATAAAAAAAGCAAGATAATATTGCAGAGATATATTAAGAAATTAAAATCTTCCTTTATTAAATGATTATCTGGTTTAAAATAACTACAAGATAAATGCTGAAAATCTAATAATTATCAGCAATTTATAATCACAATCATAGCTTCACTATCAGTTCACTGAAATAATTTTAAATTATTTTCTTTTGAGCTGTTAATGTCTCATGAGTTTTCCAGTGTCTGATGGTAAAAGTTTGCAAGATAAATATATTTTCCTGTAATAGACAAATAGACAATAAATTTTATCAGATGACAGATTACATGGTGGTGAAAATAATAACAACAAAAAAGATTCAATAAATCAAACTTTTTTTTTAAACTTTGTTTTCTTTCAGCATCACTGACTATAGGGGAGTAATCTGTTTTTAAAGATCTTTAAACTTATGGGTGGCACAAAATGGTTCTACGTTGTTTGGTTTGGTTTCTTTTTTTGTCTTTTCCTGGGATTTGGTTTTGGGTTTTTTGAGTTATTTTGTTAGTTGTGGGATTTTTAATTTTTTAAAAATCTGCATACTTAGACCCTCTGCTGGTGACCTGAATGGAGTTGTGCCAATTTACATTAACAGTGTTGACACATATTTGGCTGCGGATTAAACTAATGCATTTTTCATCTCATACATCTGCCCCAGCCTGTTATCAGAGGCTGCTGTCCCTATGGCAAGGGTAGATGAATAAAAACCTATTTCTTAATCAAGGCTAACCTATTAAAGAGAGTTGAATTCAGCATTATCTTACCTTAATGCATCTGGCTGTAAGTTCAAGAAAACTCTGAGGATCAGTTTAGGTCTTCCTGTTCCTGTGATGGCATCTTCCACAAGTGGAATAGGCAGCTAGAGGTTGGAGACAGATTCAAATGTCAAATTTCAACATGCTGCAATTTTTTCTTTCTGACATGAAGTTTGCTTTAGGAGAAAGTCTACTTGCAGCTGCTAGGGATGGATGGCTTCTGTTCCTCACAAGTCTGCACTGTTCACATTTCTAACCCTTCTTTGGTGAGAAATAAAAACCAAAAAACCAAAACAAAACAACAACTCCCCCCCCAAAAAAAAAAACTACCAAAAACAAACAAACAAAACCCTGAACAAAAAAACCAACAAACCAACCAACCAACCAACCAACAAAATAACCCCCAAAACCCAGCCAAAAAGCCAAGCTAACAAAACACATCAAAACTGAGAAAGTATTAAGATTATGTCAAGAGAGAAGTTAAAAATGAAAGCACACATCCCACTACTGTGACTTGAGCTATAAAAAGTTTTAATATTTGATGAATCTTTAAAATGTTGTTAATTTTCAAAATTCATCTCTATTTGATTCTATGTTAGACATTAATTCTCCTATATAAACTGCACAGTGATATGGAAGCAAATAGATCCTTAAGCAGGAGAAATATCTTTTTTGTTAAGTAAAAATATGACTTTTCAGAAATAAAAGTAAGCAAATAAGGCATGAGAAATTATTCTGAAGCCTAGAAAAGCATTAGGGGTTATTGTATGAATTTCTCTTAATATCAACCTCATTAAAAGCTGACTGGTTTAGTTTTTACAGTATTCTAAATAAAACATACTGAATTATATGAGAATGTGAGAGGATTCTGAATAATTCCCTAGGTAGTGAAAATACATTTTCAATATTAAATTCTCATATATAGTGCGATGGAATTTTACCAATCTTTCCAAAACACTGTATTGAGGGGAAAGAAAAAGCATGAGAAATATGCTCTTGACAGGTATTGAGATGAAAAGCATTTGAAAAATGCTGCTTTGAATGAAAATGCCATTCCAGCCCTAGCCATAACACCATGTTTCCAGCTCTACAGTCGCTTGCTTCCTCGTGAATATCCTCCTTCCTTTGAACACAAGTCTTTTATTATTCATTCAGCAGCCTTCCCAGGATGTTTGTTAAAACACAAGGAGGCATAAGGATTTTAAACAATAAATAAGTCACCTCAATACCACTTGGCTGTAGATTAAACACAGAGGTCACTGAAAGTAAAAACAAGATTTGACCTTCACTATTTCAGTACACATTGAGCAGGGCAATGCAGAGCAATGTGAGCAGGCAGTCTGAGCAAGCATCAGTGCAGCTTGCAAACAGCAGAAGAAGGTGCCTGTGCCATAGTCATCCACAGCTCTAGTGGGGCAGCCTGCATATTTTCAAACTGAATTTTGCTTTTATGTTTCATTCCCTATATTGGTGTAAGTGACTGTGAACTGGAATATCTGAAGAATGGAAGTAAAGCAGGGTTTCTTTTTTTTTGATGTAGTATTTTTTTGTTCTAAATGTCTTGAGGTAGTTTTTTAGTTGTTAGGGATTTTTTTCCTACCACTCTTGCTCAATGCCTGGTCACAGAGAGCTAAGAACACAAATGTTGCAAATAGTTTTGTCAAGTTAGAATTGTTATTGTTGTACCTATATAATATCAACCGTAATTCTACCACCCAGAATATTCTTTAAATAAATTCATACATAACACAGTACTGTACATATTGTAAGTATTTGATTTGAATATATTCCTGGAATGCAATACAGTTTATTGGTTT